AATAATTTTTGTAACGATTTATTCACGAAAGTACTCGAGATCATTAATTTTATTTCTACAATGCCACAGTATAAAAGTGAAGTTAGACTGGGTGATCGTGAGTTTAGCCATAGAGTGTATATATTGGTAATTTTTTAAAGTGTAATAAGCGCAGATTGTATTGTAATAACAGAGTAGAGAAGAATAATTCGTATTTTAAATTGGGTTCTAAAGTAACTGAACCAGCCTGTGTAAACTTCTGACGTAAAAGAGGATTATTTAAAGCTCTGGATACAACTGTGGTAACCCAAAAGGTAACATAAGTGAATTCATCACTGATTGTATTGCAATACCCGAGATAGAGAAGAATAATTTGTCTTGTCAAAGGGTGTTCTAAAGTAATTGAACTCACCTGTGTGGACTTTGACGAAAAAGAAACAATTATTTAAAGCTCTGGATACAACTGTGACAACCAATAATGTAACGAATTTTTGTACATACGTTTGACTTATTTTGAACATATTATTTTAAAACAAGTGGATTGTGTGTTGTCTGTTTATTGTTGAAATTTATCACCAACAAATCACAGACACCTACTGGAAAGAATCCGGCCCTATAAAACTTAACAATTCTCAAAGGCAATGCACTAACTAATGTTAGCATCACAGGAAAAACAAATGAAAACAAAATTGGTGAAACAAAGATTTTTTCACTATGATTTTACACAGCCTGGTTCATTTCATATGATGATCAAAAGCACAACTCTTCACTCTACACGTGAAAATTATGCACAGTTATCATATACTTGTGTAACAAATGCTGCTTAATTTAGCATTTTCATATACAAAAGCCACATCCGGTAGTTTCTCATAAAAACCTCCCGTGAATGCTCATAAAGGAATTCCATCCTTGAGCTTGGGAAGTAACGACCACAAAATCCTTACATGCAATCCTAGCAATCATTTCCATTTATATCTAGGATATTTATTTTAGACATTACAGCTAATAACATAAGCTGTCCGTATCTAACTGTCTATCATATGATGAATTGCATAAAACTACTACAAATCACTACTTTATAGCTCAAACAGTAAGGGTCACAACACATATTCAGCTTACAAATGCTTTTAAATTTCTAACAATATTTACCAGTCGTGTCAACTATCAATGTTCTATCTATGATTTTTATTAATACCAGATATTAACTGTTCAACAAACAAACAGCGACTACGCTACACCTTGTAGACATTTGACAACGAAATTCTTATATACAATTCGCAAAGCAAATAATGTCATTTGTTTCCTGTCATTGGTTTTTCAAGGAAGTAACTTTCCTAACTGCTGATCTGGCAACTAATCTCATCTATAATGATCAGAAGGATAATATCAACATTTCAGCCAACCATCAGATGTATTAAGCTGCTCTCCCACTGGCACTTCCTCATCTGATTCCTCATGGATAATCAAATAAATACCAGCATTTTCGTCTGCATCAAATGAGCAGCAGACATGTACAATACAGTGCTCTTGCTATTCTCTCACTTATCATTTTCTTTCAAACAGTTCACATGATACTCTATTGAGTTATGCATGACTTAAGCTTGAAAACATGCTCAATGATCTTTTTCTGCCATAAAACCGCTGCAACTGCTAGTTTAATGGATTATGCTGTCTGAAAAGAAGATAAAAACCAGTTCAGCCAGAGCCAAGTTGCAGGACTGAGCCAAAGTCATATTTAGTCTACGTTCTTAAACTATTGTTTCTTCACTTTCTTATTGTACTTTTTCCGTCATATGGTGCCCTTACCCAACTGCTGATGTAGACCTCAACCACTACACATATTTCTAGGAGCACTGTAGCACGTTTTCTCTGAGACAGATCGTAGTTCACAGCCATAGGAAGCTGTATTTTTCAGTCAAATATGAATCAG